TTTTTTTTTTTTTTTTTTTTTTAATAACACCTAAGGGGTATGCTGGTTTATTTATGCTACAGAAAAGTCTGCAACAAGTGTCCATGTCTAATTCTTCTGGTGTCTGGGACTGTAGAGATTGCAATCAACAGGAGCAAATGCACACTGATGTCTCATGTATCCAGTTAGTTTTGCGATTTTTTGACATGCTTATAAAATAGATTACTCATTCTACAGAATCTAATAGGTCTTTATGATATTAATTTCAGGTTAAAGGTGTCTGTATTTGGGATGCTGCCTCCATAAATTGTTCTATTTACCTAACAAAATGTTAAAAAGGTGTTCAATGTCTTTGGTCATACTTTCCATATAGAGACCCGGTAGAGATTTAAAGGATCTGATTTACTATAAATATTCCTCAAGTAACTCTGTGAAGAGAAGAATTCTTCACACCTGTGTCATGGGGAGAATTTAAAAGATAATATGTGAAACTGAACTAAAAGAGTACAGCTGCTTTTAATTCTTCATTTCTGCTTTTTCTCTGTTATATTTCAAGGTGAGGACAAAATTTTCAAGAATCGAAAGCAGCACTGGCAAACAGGCAAAGGCACAGGCAAGCCACAGAATTGCTGCTGGGGCCTGAGGGCACTAGTAAGTCTTAACATCCCTGAGGAGCTCACCTGGGGACCTCACCCTCCCCCTGCCTGCAGGCCCATTTCAGGTCAGCGAAGGGTTATTGGTCCTGCCCTGAGCCATGCTGTAGGAGTGCTGCTTTCCACCTCCACCTCTGCCTGCTAGATGGATCTCGGACCTGTACTGAATAGACCCTTTGGACCTGTGCTCCAGCCCTGTCTCTGGCCCTGTCTCCTTTCACTCCTGACTGGAACCCATGGGTGGACCTTGGACCTCGTTCATCACTTCTTGTGTCTGGGACTGTCGATGGACCCCGTTACCAGCACCAGCTCTGGTGATATGCTCAGCCTCTGTGAGACTGTACTGTTGGTGAAGGCATGTCCTGCTCTCGGGCATGACCCTCCTGGGTCTCCCAGCTTCACTTACTTACTAGGCAGCCTAATGCCAGCTGCTCCCCTTTAAAAAATGAACCAAAACAAAACAAAATGAAAGCCAACAAAAATCAATTGCTTTGAACTGTAGTGCCTAAAGTTGTCTTTAGCTGCTGTTAAGTAACAGCTTACTTCCCCAGCCACCCCAGATAGGAACATTTAGTAGCTTCTTCTAAGGTGATAACTATGCTGTTGCCAAATCCATTAATAGCTGCTCAAATAAAAAAAAAATAAAAATAAAAATAAAAAGCAACCTTACAGCACATACAGGTCATTACCCTAAGGATTTTTTCTGTTGACATCTCTCTTAATTGCTATGAGTACATAGCAAGTTTGCTGCATTGCAATATTCACACATATCATAGCATTACAGTGCAGTGCAAAGATTAGAACTAACAGGAAAAAGTGGTGTCAAGATACTACTGTGGAAAGTGTTGGCTTCTAGATAACAGGATGAAAGTTTTAGAGCAAGCAGATGCTCCCTCTCAAAACTCTTGTTGAGAAGACAACTATTCAGCAAAACCAGCAACTTTTCAACCAGTCTTACTGAAGATGACTTAGAAATCCAGATGAAATTAGAACCAGGTGAGCAGTGTTGAATTTGAAGCTGTGAAACATGAAGCGTGGGAGTTTACACATTTCTTTAAAACAATATATTTTAAACATGTAATTCAGTATTGTACATTTTAATGTGATCTATTCTGTGATTAGAAGTATGTTAGGCTCAATTTGGAGATCATCAGAAGCACTGAATGACTCCATTGGGTAGCTTGCAGCTTTGATTCAAAACCGGTTGCAACAGTAGATGTCAGCTAGGAATCGGTGCTTAAATTCCAGACTCAGCTGTGCACCTTCCCTCTCCCTTTGAGCAGAGGCTCCCTCAGCCCTTACAACTTGCTCTGCTCCAGGCCAGAGCAAGGTTTTGAGTAACAAAGCTTGTGCTTAAAATACAAAATCCAGGTAATTATAATTCATATTTATAAACTGTCACATGATTTTTGGCCATGGTGAGCTGGTTGTCAGCTCTTCCATCACAGTGTGTTTCTTCTTATGTAGACAGGAAAGCCTCTTTGAAGAGAAGGTCGCTAGCTCAGCATGGAAAAACCCACAGATTTCAGTTTCCAGTATCCTTCCAAACACTGGTGTCAGTGAACAGTACAGAAGGCTGCTTTTGTCCTGCTAAGCCCTCCAAAGGGGAAAAGTATTATCTTAAACATGGAAGGCTGGAAAAAAAATAATAGCTGTCGTTAGCTTCTCTGTTCCAGAAAATAATTAAACATATGTATGGGAGTTTCTCATATCTGTGCTCTTAGTGTAGTGAATAGCTCCAAAACCTCATCACTACAAAAGTGACAGAGGACCGGGATGATAAGAAAAATTTCAGTTTAAGAAAGCTAGTGTTTGAATCAATACCATGCAACAGGTCTCCAAAGCAAGAAGTTTAAACAAGCATTGTGCAGAAACACAGACAAAAAGGCAAAGAGGAGACAAAGAACATTGATACAACTTCAATTTTATGTTCATTCTACATATTTTTAATTAATGGACAGAGAACAACATATCTATGATACCCACTGCCAGAGATACCAATCTGTGTTGCCATTTATCACCTATTTGATTTCTGAATGCTCTCCCTTAGTCAAGCAATGATGTCTCTGAGCCTCAGACCCCACTGCTGCCTCATTGCCTGTAAAAAAAAATAAATAAAAAAGGACAACTAGGCTGAGGGATGGGTTGGGACAGTGGAACACTTTGTTAAGGACAGTAGCTCCCTCTTGTCTTGTCCCCAAGATATAGGAGAATATATTAAAAGGTATTTTTACTTTAACTATCTCCCTTTGAGCCGTCTTAGTCTCTGTTCCTGCTACATTAAGAAAAAAAAGACCCCTAGATGTTCCACAAAGATCAGGATTTTAGAGACAGTGTGTGGATGTTTTTCTAGGTTTTTTTTGTTTGGGGTTTTTTTTCATGGCCACAGTGAGGGAGAGGTCTGGCTGCTGTACAAGTAGAATATATGAAGCAGTAATCACCAAATTCTTACAAGGATATCTGAATAGAGAATATGTGCATGACTTTTCTTTTTACTGCCATTTTTTTATATCTGTCCATACACCAATAATGCATGCTTTGCTTTTGTTTAATAAGGATTCTATTTGCAAGTGCTCAACCATCTGCTGATGATATATCCACAACAGCTCAGCTAATCTACTCTTCTGGGTTGATACCTTGAGTTCTGTTTTCAAAGAAATATTTGGGTCTAGATGGACCATGGTAGTCCTATTTAAAACAGACCTTCAGCTTTTGAGGGTGGAACAACGTCAAGGACCTGGCTGCAGGAATATATACAAACCATCACTGAAGACAATGGTCCAGATTGCACTGCCTGAGTACAATACTTTTCATAACTATGTCTTTCCCTCTCCTAGTTCTCAAATTTGCCTGCGTCTTGGCAAAATGTATTTATTATCACAGCCTTAAGGGAAAAAAAAAATTGCTACAGATACAGGATTTTTTTTTTTTTTTTAATTTGTGATTTTCCTGGCAGAACTATGTGCATATGCATCCAGAGCACACTAAATTATTGCACACGTACTATGCATGCACTGTTGATTTTCCAAAACACATCTCATTTACTATGCATTTCTTGTGAATGAGCCACGGACAAATCTTGCATTCCTGGATGTCACGCAGCCTAGGAAAATATCCAGTTCTGCCTGGTTTAGGTGAAAGAAGAGTCTTGAGAGAAGACTTTTGTGGTTGCTCAACCCATATTGGAGCCAGCACTTGAGACCCGCAAAGACGAGCCAGCTTTGCTGCATCTCTGTGGCCATTAAATGAGATCAACCCATAAAATGTACTGTGTATTAGATTTTGCTCCTATAACATCAAGTAATATTTTGGCTTCTTTCTAAATTTCTTAAAGGAAATAAGGATATGGTTCTTTTAAAACTTTGCAAGAGGAGGAACAAAACTTTATATAAAGAGGAGTATTTCAGTCTCAAATCCAAACTAAACTGTTGGTCTGGGATTTGAAGAAAACCATTGAATTAATTTTGGTCATTAGCTTTAAAGCTCAAAAAGAGACTTTTTCGTCTGTTTCAATCGCCTATAGGTCCTTGAGATGGAGAACTTTTGCTGAAGCTCATACCTGAGTCAGGGTCTCAGACAAGTTCATGGGAACACAACACAGAGTCACATCCTTATCCTTAGTGATCCAAACAAATTTTACAGGCACAGAGCAACATTCAGGAGGATGGAGCCAGGCTCTTCTCAGTGATGCCCAATGGTAGGACAAGGGGCAATGGGTGTAAGCTGGAACACCAGAGGTTCCGCTTAAACTGCAGAAGAAACTTCTTTAAAGTGAGGGTGACAGAGCACTGGAACAGGCTGCCCAGGGAGGTTGTGCAGTCTCCTTCTCTGGAGACATTCAAGACCCGCCTGGACGCCTTTCTATGTGATCTCATTTAGGTTCCTGCTCCGGCAGGGGGATTGGACTAGATGATCTTTCGAGGTCCCTTCCAATCCCTAACATTCTGTGATTCTGTGATTCTTATGTTCATGTTCTCTCGAGGGTAAGTCTGAGCAACTTCAAAGACATTAACGCAGGAAGGTGGTATAATGCAAAGAAGAGAAACTAAGCCAGGCATAACTAGAAGTTTTAATTAGACCAAAAATGTTTTTATAATATTTTTCCATACGAAACTTGGAAACTTGAAACAAAAATACTGTTTTATTATACCTTTCCATCCACTTTCCTCTTTCAAAATGATAACTTCGCTATTAATTGAAGCCTTCTACTGTTTATATCCACTTGATGGCAGCATTTGAACACAGAACCATTTGAATCTCTTCAAACTCTGTCCTCTGCAT